TACCTGAGTGGGAGTATACCGCATGTAACCAAGAGGGATGCATGTACTTAACGTTCGGTGTGAGTTCCGAGTTGCAAAGGCTTCAATCAACGTGCCGTCGCCCGAGGCCTATCCGATATCAGACATTAGGTACCCACGGCTCCGGCTACGTACTTTAACTCTTTCACGTTCCGACGCCCACGAGCGTGGCCTGGCGAGGCAGCGGTGCTGCGCTTCTTTCGTTCATGGGTACGACGTAGAACGCGGTCTCGAGGAAACGGCCCCAAACGCGATGTTTAACCCCTCGAAGGTGGCCTTCGCGCGGCTACAATCCGGTAAGACGAATTTTTTGGATAGAAAATCCAAGGGGATCTTATTTAAAAGGATGCGAGTGATCTTTTTTCTTTCTTTTTTTTTTAAGTCGTTTGGACAAGGTTAAATATAATTTTGTGAATAATTTATAAAAGTGTATAGGTATGCTTTGATATTTTTTTCTGAGATATGATACTTCTTTTGATAGTTGTAATAATTTGTTAAAACTCTCTGTTGGGAGTAAGATATTTAAGGGAATGTGATATTTTCGAAATTTAAGTTGAGTAATGTGTAATTTTAATAATGTGTAATTGGATAATTTTAATTCGAGAGATGTCTTGTCTTGGATTTTTGTTAAAAATTCCTGTTTCATGTGAGATATTTGAAGTTAAAGGTAAAATTAATTGGTTAGATCGTTTAAACGTAATAATGTAAATAATTTAAAATTATCATTTGGAGAAATGAATATTAAAATTGCTAAATGAAGGATAAAAATATAATCTTCGAATCTACATAACTTAATATACATGACATTATATTATTTATTACAAGAGAATTTAATATTGATATCTAATAAATGATAAAAATGATATTTTTCATTTTTTTCTAAGTAATTCTAAATTTTAGTATCGTATATTTTGTGCATAAAGATGAATTAAAAGAAAAAAAAAAATGTAATCAGTCTGCATAAGATCTGGAGAAAGTGTGAGTTATGCGTTGAAGAATGTCTCTGAGCACGTATAAGGCTTGGTATGCAAGATAAAGATTTATTGCGTTCGATATTTCATTCTATATCATTATGCTGGAAGTAATGAAAAGTATGTTGCAAGAAAAAATAAAGTAATATATTTCAGATATTTCTTTTAATTAAAGGTTCAATTTCTGATTGCTCGATAAACTTGTAAAAAACGAACATAATTTGCGAAAGGTATTCGGCACTAAATATAAATATAACTATTGGAGAAAAACTTGATAAGTCACGTTCTAATTTTTAAAATTGAACTTGTTGAGTTTGTACCATAGATATATATTTACACTTATGATTCAAAAATTAGATTTAACTCATCATATAATATACATTTCATTTTAATTATTAGACAGACAAAAACGATCAATAAAAATAGATTATTATATCTTTATTTTTTATTGAAATCAAAATTATTTTTCCTATTAGCTTATATGGATAAAAAAACTACTTCCATTATAGATAGATTTTTCACTTATAATTCTAAAATTAATGAGTATTGTTAAATTTGTTATCATTAAAACAGAGATCTATCTATTTAAAATAGACATTTCAAAAATTATATTTTTTCTAGAATAATTATTTGATCAAAATCATATTTATATATCAAAGAATATTATTAATGGAATGTAAATAATCAGTATTCTTCAGGATATATGAATTGCTGAAATTTATCACATTGAATTGCTTTTAAAGTAAGTTACTCAACACTATATTTCAAACGAAGTCTGCATGATTTGCTAAACGGAACCGTTTACATTTTTCAATAATTATATTCCCTCGAAAGAAATAATGCAATTTTCTTCCTATGATACAGCTAATATAACGATTACAAAAATTTGAAAATCAATCAGAGATTATTAATTTGCAAATATTTTTTATTAAAATTTAAAAAGAGACTTTTGTTTCCTATTATTTTCATTTAATATCCTAAAAAAAATATTTTGCCATTCTACTTTTTCCAGCCAATATTTAAAACTATATATAGTAACTTACACTATAGATAGTTATATCAATGCAAAAATACTTTTGTAAATTCAAATAATAAGCAGTTTTTGAAAACATATTATTAATTCAGAGCCAATTGGAATAAAATCTCAAATATTCTTTGCATCAAAAAAGATAAAATTTAAAAAAAAGAAGTATCATCATCTCTAAACGACTTAGTTTGAACTATATTCAAAATAGTAATAAAATAGCAACAACAGCATCTTCTGATTTCCATAATAATAATAATAATAATAATTGAACTCATAATGGAGATGATGTATCGAAGTGATGAACGCGCATGCGCCTACTTCACGCGCGTTTATTCGAAACTTTTGATCACTTCCGATGGAAAATAATGGCCGAAACTCTGGCCCGAATTAATTCACGCTTTCGCGGACTCAAATTAAATGTTTTGCGTAACTCGAAGATGAAATGCGTTCGAAAAAGGTCACTTAAAGCGTGGAAAGGGAAAAAAAGACAAAACGCGCGAGAGGATAATTCACTCAAAGCGCATCGTAAAGCCATTAACATCGGCTGTAAAAGTTCTGTCTGCTCTTTGAAAAGAAGACTGACGTCGATATATTCGCAAAATATAAATGTTAATATTGTTGATCATTGTTTGTGCAATCTATTCCTATTCGTCAAGTAAATAGTTATTTAAAATTATTTTTCAAATTAATTCGATTTAATTCAATTTTAGTAATACGAATATGTTTTAAAAATTAGGCATTTTTAAATAGATCAAAGGATTGTTAAAGAAGAGAAGTATAATTTTTATTGAATCATAAATTTTTGTGTATAGGTACAATATGAATATATAAAATACAGCTATTATGCAAAAAATATATAAAGCAACAACATACAATAGTATGCTCGATAAGTAAAACAAATTTTAATCTAATATTTGTGATATTAAATATATTTAATAATATATTTGTAATATAAAAGTGATAAAAATAAAATAAGAGATGTAAAAATAATAAGATCGCTTTTTATATTTAATTTAGATTTATATACTCTTAAATTATTTAAGAATTAATTTGAATACTTATAAATAATGAATATACATTACGTTGTATAATTTGAATATAGGTATGTAACTAAATATAAAAAAAAATCTTACGTGATGGATATAAGTAACAAAAATTATTTGTCATCTATTAAAATTCAAAAATGAATAATGATTTAATTATTCTTTTATTAAAACTTCATAAATATTCATAACCTTCAACTCATCATATAAATACATTTTATGATTTATTAATTTTATCACTAAAATTTGTATTTTTGATTAGTTTTTAATTGTATATGTATTTTTTTTGTCATTTCTATTTTTATTATAATTTTAATAATTTATACTTTTATATTCTATAGGTACAGTTGCAAAATGCCCATATCAATTTTAAAATATTAGTAAGAAATTTTTTATAGCTAATATATATTAATAATGATACTTTAATAATTAAAATAGTGAATTATTTACTTATTTTCAAATTACATCAATCAAATTATATTTATAGAAAATTCTACAAAATAAATATAAAATTTAGACGTTACACAAAAAATTTATACATCATGTGATTAAATATTTTTGATATTCTTTCTTACTGTTAATACATTATCTCATAAATATAGTTTTTATCATCAAACGATACAAAATATTACCCGCTGAAAATGATGAATGGAGATAAATAGAACGATGAAAGATGGATTTTTCATCTGATTTTCGCATCTCTGATTTTTTATACATTATCATGGTTTTTATATCAAATGCAATAATTTAATCTCACTTCATAAATATTTAATGATTCATAGACTCCATTATTTCATTTTTTTTTATTTGTTTTTCAAAAAAAGTAATACATAATACCTAAATACAATAGACAACTTATAATTTAACAAGAATAAAATATATGAATAAATGATATAATAAATATTTTCTATAATATAAATAATCATTAAATAAAATATAATGCGAAAAATTGTACGTAGTTTTTATACATATTTAGTAATTATAAAACTTTTTCTAAGTTAATAGACAATCTTATCGTTCCAAAAAAGTAATTAATAAATTAAAATTAATAAATATTGTTATAATAAATAATAAATTTTCTATTATTGAACGATAAATTTATATTGAATATCATTATATATTATTAATAATTTCGATAATAAATTTTAAGGAAAAAAATAAACTTGGCTAAAATAAAAAAAAAGAAATACACGAATCAGAAATGTATAAATTAATTCTTACTGTACATGAGTTCAGTAAATAGAATTTTATAAAATTGAATAACAAATATTTGTTCATTAATAGGTGTCTAGCGAGTAAAAAGCCTTTCTACTGATGTTGCGTCGGACAGCCTTCAATCGTAGGCGTTTATCCGACGGTATATTCCACTAGAAACAACATTGCATAAAATACCACGAAACAGACATTAAGAACAGTAATCATAAAAATTTATTTCTTTCAAGTCGATAAACAAAACTGATATTTATTTATTTACAATAACAAGAAATCTTTTATGTTAGATACGAAATACAATGTACACTGAACAAAGATCAGACAGTGATGAATCAAAGATAAATCAACTAGAATCAAAATATCACTCATTGTTAATTCTAAAATAAAATTTTTAACAAGAATAAAATCTAATATAGATATCTATCCTGAATCAATTGTTTCTCAATCTCTATATCGAAGAAATTTTATTAAAATTTGACATAAACATAGAGATATTCGGATAATATTTATTATTATTTACGAATAACGTTGAGAAATTTATGAAACAATTAAAAATCGTTATTAGTTACAAAGTATTAACCAATCAATTCCATCAACGTTAATTCGACTTCAAAAAAGAAAAGTTAAACATCGATCTCATTGATTTTAAAAATCGAAAATTTAAAAAAAAAAAAAAAAAAAGAAACGTGATTAATCGATTCATCTCACCAGAATGCAGAACCTACCTACCTTGAAAAGGGTATCCAGTGAAATAAGGTGCCATGTTCAAAGTGCTGACTGCCATCTAGCTAATCGGTTTCTCCGGGACAATCACCAAGCCACCACAAAACGTCAATCGTGGTTAAGAAAAATCGATATTTAAAAAAAAAAAAAAAAAAAAAAAAAAAAAAAAAAAAAAAAAAAAAAAAATGGAACCAGGATCTATCCTCTTCCCTCGAACCACTTCACACGAACCAACTTATCGGCAAAATAATAACGCGGGGAAACGAGCTCGAGATTGGCCCCCTGCAACGAATTATATAACAACCGTGTTCACGAAACTTGTCAATACCCTGTTATGGACGAAACGGAAACGAATCTTATACCGGATGCAAGGTGGAACGATCGTGGAGAGACCTGTTTGCTTCGGGGTCTCGGCTCGAACTGTTCGGGTGCCGATTCGAACGGAGGCAAAGGAGGCTGAGAGAGTGAAAAAGAAAGGAAAAGAAAGGTGTATAACAGACCGAGGGCGAAGAAGGCTCCGCCTTCGTGCATGGGCCCTGTCGAGGAGGGAACATCTGGGTCCAAAAGCACCTTGATGGCTCTAGTCGAGCGGTGCATTGGTCACCTCGAAGGTGACCCTCTGAAGGTGGAGGTGGTCTCTTGCATGACTCCGCCCGACCTTCTCCTTTCGTACGCGAGCGCAGGCCTGTCCAGCTTGGTCTCCACGAGTCTTCAACCTCCTTTTCGATGCCCGACCGGCCGGTGGAGGAAAGATCGGTAGCTAAACGAAATGTTTGACGACGTTTAGGGAGGTCGTTGTGCGTTTTAACGGCGTGGCGCATGGGCGCATGTTAGGCGGGCATCGATATGCATTGGATCGCGTATGAGCGAGTAGATTGCGGATGTTTGCGGAAAATTTAAATGTACGGAAAAATCCGTGAAAAATAAAGGAATGTAACGTAATCCGAACGACGCGGAAAAACAGGGATGGGACAGAATTTGAAGCAATTTTGGAGAAGATGAATTGAATAAACTCGAATATTTTTAAACAAATGATAATAACAGATTTTGAAAATATCTATTATTTTATACTATGTTATGAATTAAATCAAATATCGATGCTTGAGAACATGTTATTTTATTTTAATGCTCGATTTAAACACTTGTCGAATATTATTGTTTAATGATTAAATGACGAGTAATTATTATTTGTCGAATATCGTAGAAAATGAAAGATATAAATTTTTTTAACTATTAAAATTCCAAAATTGAATATCTTGCATCTAGTTCGTATAAATACGTAGGTACAAAATTCTATCTATAGAATGGTCATGGTATGCAAAAAGATATGAAATATCCAAAGTGAAGTACAATAGAACTCCATTTATATAAACCCGACGGAAGACAAACAATCCATACAACAAGTTAATTTCACATATAATAGGAGCCTATTGATTATTCTCGTTATTTTTAATTTTTCGTTCAAACAACCGAAGTTCAAACAGTATCCTATTAAATCTACTTGCACCCCACTTATTTTATTTATTTAAAAAAAAAATTGCAAAGTTATAACTTTTATTTGCATATATTAATAAATCAAATATTATGAAATAAAAAAATAATTTAAATTTAATTTAAATTTCCTCTAAATAATAAAAAAGTTTTGATTAGATTTTTGTACTCGTATTAATTATTTTTAAGTTCAATTAAACAAACAAACGTATTGAATTAAATTAGAAAATGTAACGAGAAATATTATTCGTATTTGTACAATATTACGATTCAACATCTTACGAAAGATATATAAAACTTTGTCATAATATACAATTTCAATAATAATATATTGAATCCATACCCACACGTTTTCAAACACGTGGATATTCATTATTTATGAAATCTTCTTGTACGTTATAATTTGTACGTTATTAATCTGTATGTTATTATTATGGATATACCTAGTACGATCACATGTAGGTAGTTTCTTATGTACATAAATATTTGTCTGTTTAAAGATATCTATCTTTTAACACAGACATCTCAATAATCTCTCTTTTCCTTTCTAAGATTTATTTTTTACTATTATTTCACTTCGATTCTACTTTTCCAAATTTACGTCTTTGTCGGTTAAGTAATAATAAATGTTTCCACGCAAATATATCAACGAAATATACAAAGAAAGAGAATAAGTCGTTTGTTAATGAAGAAAACAAAGTATCGACAATGTATTCAATGATACATTTAAAAATAAACGAATTTTGCAAAAACACTTTTAATACCATGTAACAATCGATAAATTGCTCGAAAAGTTGGCAAAAGATAATCTTGATCTCACCAAAATTAAATAAGAACGCAATGATGATAATATATAAGAGAATTAAGGTACTTTGAAGGTTCGATTAAAATTTCTATTTTACAAGAAGACAGACACTTTTTATCACTCTCCACGATCAATAAACGTAATATCTACAATTTATCATATTTCTTTTTTATTGCAGCGAATCTAAAAACCAACTCATAGGGGCTAACTTCTTTCAGTCTCTCCAAACACTTTTGCGGACAAACAAAAGGGTTACGATACAAATTTGAAAAGATCACGTGACACGTTTTAATTCGTCAATGATCAATCATCTTCATCCTCTCTTAGAGGCATTAGACATTTCGAGATGATTCCCCGCTGTGGCAAAGGAATCTTCTCTGATTCGCGTGTAATCACCTTGGAGATTAGCCGAAAAGCAAAGGTGGAATCATCTGGAGAAGCGTCATAATCCAACGCACAATGGGCCTTACAACCATGTTAATACGCGGACTCCAGTGCACCGCCATTTACAACTTGATTTTCTCTGAATTCTTCATTAATATTTACGCAGTTAATAACGCATTAATAATCGTGACGCGACAACGATGGACTATAGATATTGTTATTGCATCGATCTAAGTAGAATTAACGTTCTTCAGATTTTATTGTATTTAAAATTTTAATATTTGACAATAACAAATACGAGCAAGGAAAGTGTTGGATTACAATTGAAAATGGAATGGAATTTTGCTCGATGCAATCATTGATTGACGATTAATAATTGATACGAATTAATCTGAATTTTATTTCGACATATTTAGAAGCATTGATTGATAATAGAATTGAGAATTGATTAAACTTTTATCGATATATTTCTTTACAGTTTCTTAATACTGTAGAAGATCAAACATAGATATATATTTCGATTGTATTTAAGAATTTCGATGTTTAACAAGATGAAAAGAAGAAATAATTCCAAGATTTTTAACGAAAAAGGATATTTTATTATTAAAAAAATGTAAAACTATTAATTTTAATCTAACTTTAATTTCAGTTTAATTATAAAAAAAGAAGAAACGAGATTTAATAATTTGCTCAAATAAAAATTATTCGTTCTAATTCTATTACTAATTAAACATTGATCACATATCAGACAGATAAAAGTACAAAATAATACGCGTGAATTATAAATTATCTTACAGAGGATCATCAATCACTCGATGATAATAATCTATAACATATCACGAAAACTATAAGAGTTAAATATTATCCCAAAAAGAATCAGAAATAATAATTCACCTATACAAATATATAGAATGCTTAACTTTAACCTTTAAGATAACTTTATCGAATAGACGCACAAATTTCAAATTTGATCCACAATCGATTTTCTTCGAAAAGAAAAGAAAAAGGAAAATCAAAAATCGCATGGAAAAGATTATCACCATTCCCACAAATAAATTATATATATATATAATCATACTCGAAGTTCATCGAAATCCCGAATGTTAATTACCTAAACGACAGTGCAACACCAGGTTAATCGCTATGCTTTCCAAGATCCATCTCCCTTTAAGATTTAATCCTTCACAGTCTATCGCCTGTTTACCAGGGAGCACGCAGGATCCACCAGTAAGGATAGCACGTGTCGTGATTGTAGTTTATGGGTAGCTGATTGCAGGAGCGTGGGACGGTTACAAGATTGTGGATGGGCCCCAGAGCTGGGGCCAGTCGCCATTCACCGGCGCGCTTACGTATACCAGGCATCGTGTCAGTGTTTCGTTTCGTAATCATTAAGATATGCATTATCCCTCTAATGACGAGCAGCAGTGTGCAACAGCGTGTCCGATTCGTGGTGCTTCGTTCCCCCTTCTCCTTCGGGGGGGTCTACATAAATTTCACGTAAAATGCCTGTACACTTCGGTTGGCTTCGTTCAACCTGATTAAAGTGAAATCCAGTGGTGTAATCCAGTCTCCAGTGGATTAATTGGTTCGGTAACGTACCACCCTTTCGTTCTCTCGTACCGCCCTCTCGTACCACCGTTCAAAATTGGCAAGGGGAGGGTTGGACGCCTTCGAACGAGCGAGAATCAATTTTTCTTTCTTGAGTTAAGTAAGTAGAATGGACTGTGTAAAAATTTTAATTTTCAGTTATTTAGTTGAGTTATTTAGTTTTTAAAGGGGGAAGAAAATACGAAATCAATTGTTTCTTTCGTCGTTATTGACAGGATAATGAATAATTGTTATATTTTTCCTGTGAATTTTGTGAAATGTATCTACGTTTGGTTTTTAAATATTTGTCAATTGATTTCATTAGAGGAAATATTATATATATATGTGAATATTTTTATAATGAATTTCTATCTTTTTAAGTACAATTTTCATTATCAATAGTATGAATATTAATTTATATCCTTTATTAATTTTAGACTAGCTTCTAGATAAAATTACTTTGCAAATAATTCAAAATTTTAATTTTCTTTATAATAATGATAATATTAATTGTAATATTATACGATTTTATAATAAATAAGATTCGAGGTTTTCGACGAAGCTAAAGAACATTATTACAAAAGATCTTAGAATTCTTCTTCCAACAGTGGATATCGAGACAAAAGCACAATTTAGTCGAAAATCAGAATGGAAGTCTCAGGAGCAAGTTCCATCACCAGTGGACGTAGATCTTTCAATTCGAGGTTTGGTCCCAAGAGCGATTTTCAAAGACAGTCTCTTGGATCTGACTTGACGAGACTTTCAGGTATGATCAATTGGTCTATCGGGAATGA